AAAAAAAAAAAAAAATACTGATGCCTGGTCCCATGTCCAGATCCTGGTTTCATTGGTCCTTCCTGGTTCAGTAAGTCTGAGGTGTGGGCCTGGACATTGGGACTTTGAAAAGCTCTCCAGATGCTCACAAAGTGCAACTAAAGTTCAGAACCACTGATCTTGTGTTCATCTGTGTCATGATTGGATTTAGCTGCCTTTTGATAACAACACAAATGATTAATTGATGCATCTACATTACTTTGGGGGGATACTATGAACTATCATGTAAGTGTTTTGAATAAGTAATATAGCAAGGATGAATTTCACATGCTAAATAATCATGTATGCAAAAACACTATTTTTTACTCTCTAAGTGAACTCAAAATGAACTTTAATTGCTACTGCTGAGGGCAAATTTAATTTTGACAAGTCAAAGTGACTCAATTACTTCTAGTTTAAAACTTACTTCTTTGTGGATAAAGAATTGAATTCAGCTTGACCGCCCCCCCCCCCCCGCTTCTCTGTCTGTTTTTTCCTGGACCAATCTAGGTTTGGGTCCAGGTGATCTCAAGTGGCACAGTCACTGGGGAAGGCATATCTGGTTGGAGGAGGCTTTTCTGCCATTGTTTTCTGTTCGATCAACCTCAGTGATGCCAGGTGATTTGTTCTGAGGGCATTTGACCATGTTTCAGGCTGGCTTGGCCATTACCTCTGTGCTCTGGGGTACTGCTGATCCTCTGAGGTCCAACCACCTTTTCCACCCAGCCCTTGGCTTATAGTCTCTACCCAAGTGTCTGTTGTGAGGTCCCCAGGCCCTAGGCATTAGTGACTCCCTGGTAAGCCATGTGCTTTCAATTCTCAACTACCTTCTTTGCCCCTCTCCAGGTTCACATGGAATCTTGCAGACTTTCTCCACACCCCTTGGCAGCTGAGGGAGACTGGTTGGCCTCTCTCAAGCCTGCTCTAAGCCTGGATCTGCCCTGCAACCAGTTCTGCTCTACTTTAGCTGCCCTTCCCAGAATTCTCCACAGGAGGCAGGACCATAAGTGGTCTCTGTCTGGGGATCCCCAAACCCATCACATCCTCTGGGACTTCAACCCCCAAGAGGGACCAAGGAGCCAAGCCCCATCTTTATATCTAAAATCTCATTTTCCTCTCCCAGTTCCTTCCCACAGTAGAATGAAGACATGGAGGGAAAACTGTGTCACATTTTTACTCATTCCTCCCCATCCTATGGTTTACATCATGAATTCTATGCTTGCCATCCTCTATGCTTTGTTAATGATACACAGTGCCAATATTTTAAAATTACAAAAACAACAATGACTTTTCTCTCTCAAGAATCTGACTTTCTCAAAATAATGGGCTTGAACTTTCAGACTATTGCTTCTCTTGTATGTTTTCTAAAAATCCATTCAGAAATCCAGTCTCCTTCTGTGTTCTGGGCTGTATCTGCTTTCTGCTCCAAAGCAGTGAAAGGCACTGACTAAAGTGGTGAAAGACTTGAGGCAACAAGAAAATTGTGGGGAAAAAAGTCTCTATTCATGTCTCAAAATAATACCCCTCTACCATCATATCACGGTATGATATGGACCTGATACTCCAAATGAATTTCAGTGTGGGGTTGGATGGATTTGGAAAGCAAAATGATTAGAATGCAAGTTGTAATAAAGGCCAATAAGATGTATCTGCATTTAAAGGCACATAGACCTTTCCTCACATGTGATATAACAAGCTGAACATATATTTTAGGCTTGGATGAAAGTCCAGATCAGATGCATTCAAGACCTCAGGATGCAGAAAAAGAATATCGTATCTAGTCTGTACGCATTCCAGGAAGATTTCACTGTCAAAGTGACAGTTGGGGATAGCTGTCCAGAGAGACTTTAGTTAAAGTCTATTGAAATTTTTAAAAAAGGATGAATCAAAGCACTTGAAGAATGAAAATCCACTGGAAAAGCAGAGTATTGGCTGTGCTCAGATGTAAAAGATGAGTAACCACACTTTTCATTTGTTTTGTCCTCAGCTGGAAAGGCAGCTAACACTGCAGAATGAAATGAGAGAAAGACTAATGGCCATGCAGATTGCTTGGTCTCGGGAATTTCTCAAATATTTTGGAACTTTTTTTGGCATTGCAGCCTTCTCTTTAACATCTGGGTACGTTTGCTATTCACTTTAAAATTTTCTCAAATAATTTACTTCTTTTTGTCTTTGCCATTATCGTATTAAGTTGACCAAGATAGGACTTTGTCTGAATATTGTTTATGTAAACAAAGTGACCTCTTATAGCTTAGTCCTTGGAGGTAACTCTATAGAACGAGGGTAGTAATAGTTAATTCTGCCTTTTTCTTTTCCTTTTTCTTTTCCTTTTTTGATATTTGCTCTGCTTTTTTTTCAATTGAAGTATAATTGACATACAGTGTTATATTAGTTTCAGGTGTACAGTGACTTGATATTTTTATACATTATGAAATGATCACCATGATATGTCTAGTTACCATCTGTCACCGTACAAAGTTATTACAATATTGTTGACTATATTCCCTATGCTGTACGTTACATCCCTGTGACTTATTTATGACTAGAAGTTTGTACCTCTTAATCCCCTTCACCTATTTTGCCCACCCCAATCCCCATCCCCTCTGGGAACCACCAGTTTGTTCTCTGTATCTATGAGTCTGTTTCTGTTTTGTTTTGTTTGTTTTGTTTTTGTTAGATTTCACATGTAAGTGAAATCATACAGTTAATTCTGCCTTTAGTTTGTTATATTTCTTCTGTCCTTTCCTCCATTTTGTAAGTTAGAGAGAGGACTGACTTGACACCAAGATAGAAGGAGGCCTCTACAAGTTTATCTTCACAATCCCTAAGAGGTAGATATCAATACTAACCATTTTTAAAATGAGTAATCTGAGCCTCGACATCAAATAAAGATGAGCAAGTCATAGACCCTGCCCTTGAAAACTGCAGAATCTGGTGAGGGGTTATGGGTAAGGAAATCCTATTTCCATAGAAGACTCAAATGAATTAAGTAACTTCTGAAATGGAGGACATTCTTCCAAAAAGGAGGTAAATTTTTTTTCATCGTGTGGAGATATGTATTTATAGGTTATTCTTGATATTCATTCTTTTTTGTTCTTGAACCAGAGCAATAAAAAGGAAGAAGCCAGCCTTCCTCGTCCCTATTGTTCCATTGGGCTTTATCTTTGCCTACCAGTATGACTTGGGCTATGGAACTCTTCTACAAAGAATGAAAGGTAAGTCTTTGATAACCAGAGTCTCTACTTCTGATTCATTTTCTGGTTCAAGGATCCCCTCTTTATGACCCCTTGACTTATGAAGATTCTGACAAGACCTTCTCCTTGAGCCTCCAATGACCAACATTTCTGCTCCCTCTCACACAGTGGTGTGCTGGAGCCAGCTCATACCAGCTCACAAGAACCGATGTCAAATTTTCAGGAATGTTATAAGCTGGCTGTTAAATACAATCATTATTAAAAATTAAATTATATAAACTTAAAATTAAATAAATTACAAAAAATAAATAATGTTAAATTACATTTTTTAAATGGTAAATACTCAGAATTTATCAGTTTCTAGTTATTTTACTATTATCTATACTCTTCAGCTATGTATACCTATTATATTTGTATGGTAGAAACGCAGGTACAAGATACAGACACAATAAAATATAGATACAACTTCAACTTCAGTGACATCCCTTTGGTAGCTGAAGTTGGTTATGGTGAGAGTATTTACACCATGGAAATCTACAAATGCTAAATGAAGGCTTGACTTATTATTTTGTTGATTATCTAGACCATGCATTGGCAAACTATAGCCTGCGGGCTGGCCACACTTTCCAATAAAGTTTTATTGGAACACAGACATGCTCATTCATTTCTGAATTGTCTATGGCTGCTTTCCCGTTACCATGACAGAGCCAAGTCATTGCAACAGACATAAGGCCCCACAAATCTAAAATATTTACTGTCTGGCCCTTTAAGAAAGTTTGCCAACCCATGGTCTAGACTTAAGAAAGTGATAAAGGGGCTGGCCAGGTGGCATAGTAGTTGAGTTTGTGCACTCCACTTCGGTGGCCCGGGGTTCGCAGGTTCAGATCCCAGGTGTGGACCTACACCCACCACTTATCAAGCCATGCTGTGGCAGGCATCCCCCATATAAAGTAGAGGAAGATGGGCACGGATGTTAGCCCAGGGCCAATCTTCCTCAGCAAAAAAAAAAAAAAAAAAAAGAGGAGGATTGGCAACAGATGTTAGCTCAGGGCTAATCTTTCTCACATGCACAAAAAAAGAAACTGATAAATAAAATATTATTAATGCAGATTATGCGTAAAAGTGTGTTGAGTCTGTAGCCATCACATTGTGAATAGCATAAAAAATTGAGGAAATATTCTCTCAATATTTAGAAATTGTTACCTGATTCAGCAAAGTTATTTACATCATTCTCAAAGAAGTGAAGTTCCAACTTGGAATTATACTGTCTCATCAACTGCAACTATAGGTTAGCTATGGATACAAGAGTTCAATTTCAAAAATCAATGAAAACATTCTGTGAGAATCAATTTGCTATATGGAATTTATGATAAAATGTATTGTACATTTTATTATTTATAAATTGCCTGTACATATATTTTATAGAAGTAAAATTTATAATAAACTTATGTACATAATAAACTTACATACATTTTTTTTTTCTGGAGAGCTAGTTCTTAAGTATTTGCCAGCACCAGGTCGCTTTCACAGAACTCTGGCTCTTACTGCCCTAGAAAATAGCACTGCTGCCACTGAAGCCATTCCTGTCCCAGGAGGATAGATTTTTCCATTAGTCTAGGATATCCATGTCCTCCAAATTCCCACCACTTCTTGAAGCTACACTGAGGATAGCTGTGTCCCTGCTTCTCGAGCCTTCAACCCAGAGCATATTGCAAACAGTGCTTTCCCAAGTCTTCATTTTTGCCATCCTGATCTCTCCTGGGCTATGGGCCCATCACTATCCCTGAAGCTCTGTTTGTTATGGGAAAGGAGGAGGTTCAGACTCCTCTGCAGGTATTGGGAGTAGGAAGTAGAACATCTCATTCCCAGGCCTAGGGAGATGAAGGGTTATTTGTTCTTAAAAATTCCCATTTGAAAATTTCCACATAGAAACTATGCTAAAATGTTCTTTGGTATCGGGCATTATTGGTATCATAGTTCAGCTATATTGTGGGCTAAATAGTCTTTTGTTGATGGCCTAGAAACTGATTTATAGCATTATTGCTATGGGAAAATGTATCCTAAGTTCTAAAACACTGTTCTACAAATTAACTTTTAGAGTATAATCCCACTTTAAGCTGGAAACTAACTGTACACAACTGATTTACTAATGTTAAAACTCATTTCAATAACCTGCTCATTTTCACATTACTCATCTGTTTAAGAATTCATTAGTCTGAGCTCAACTATGTCTCATTGTTTATATGGACATTAGAATTCTCAGTGCCCCATAAAAATTAATATGTAGTATTAAGAAATTTCAACTCTATTAGACAGCATTCATTTTAACGTATTACAAAGGGAGAGCAAGTTTATTTTCTAAGAACATTTTGATTGTATATTTGTGGAGTAATTTTATTACAGGTCCATCAGAGTTTACAGAATATGAAATTTTAAACTTTCAAGCATGTCGTGGGAATTTCCTGTAAAAAAAATACACCTGTAGAATCCACCAGGAAACTTACCATATTAGAAAGTTTAGGATATAACATTTAGCCATGTTAACTAGTGATGACCCCAAAATACAATCCCTGTTTGACTGAATTTATCAGCCATTCTGTAAACACATAACTGCGAATCTGCCATATGCGAGGCATTCTCACATGGAAAAATCTAGGCTGTCATCAAAAGCCTGCCTAATTTATACAATTTATAATGATTTTTATTACTATGTAAGACTGAGGCAAAAAAAAAAAAATGTTTGCAGATGGTTGAAATGTTGTTATAATTTGAAAATTGTAGCCTGCCCTGTTGGGTTTGGAGTACAAATTAATTATGTGCTAAAAGAGGACTACTTAAAGAAAACTTTTGCCTTCATTCCCAAGGAAAGCTTATGGAATGTTAATAACATGTATTATAATTTTAAAAAATTTTGCTGATTAGTCTTCAATGCTAAAAGTTGGCAAATGTCACTGGGCCAGAAAATTACTAGCTGTTATTTGAAAGAGGGAGTGTTTATAAAAATGTGTATATGTACATTAGAATATTTAATATTATTTTGGGTATTTATAAGCGGTTTCAGGTCAAAGACTAGCTTTCCTGAAAAATTAGAATTTTTAGTAAACTTTATTTTCTCTCACGTCATTTATGATACATTAAGGGGCAAAAGGAAGAACTGTATGTGGTTTCTCCACACCAAACCTCTCCAAACACAACTAATGTTTATCATCTTGACTTTCCTTCAAGGAAAACAAATATTACTTGGTATTCTTTCTCTTCTATGTTTTAAAATGCTGTCTTCTTCCAATAAAATCTATGGCATCTGATGTATCTCTCTTTGAATCTTCAGAATTCCTTTCTGAATTCTTTTATTTTTTCATTCTTTCATTTGAGAGGTCACTACTTCTGAGGACGAGGAGTGAAATATTTAACTGTGATATTTGGGGGCATGCCTCCACACAGTGTTACAGCTTATCATTGGAACAGAGCATTTAGACTTTCTCACGAACACCAAAGACCCCTTTGTCACCTTGCATATTTCTGTACTTTATTTAAGGTGAAGCCGAGAACGTACTGGACACAGAAAAGAGTAAGTTGCAGCTGCCAAAAGGAACGATCACTTTTGAAAGCCTTGAAAAAGCCAGAAAGGAACAGAGTCAATTCTTCACAGACAAATGAAATCATGTTTACCCACCAGATATCAAAACACAGAATTGTTGTCTTGAATCATGGCTTTTGCAATTTTTTAAATACTCAAGATTTTGATATAATGGATTTAATTTTAAGAAATTAAAATGCAAGATGAGTTTTGTTAAACTATTTTAAACTAAAATTTATAATATTCAACACAAAATCATGGAGGTACTCTAAATAACTCTCAGATTTCCTACATTTATGTGTGTTACAAATATCTAAATGTAAAATTAATAAACTATATTGTTTTGAATTCCTGGAAACACATGTCCTGCTGCTCTCATTTCTCTGTCAGACATGCTTTCCCCATCACATTCATCTCCCACAGATACTCCTTTTATTTTTGCTTTGTCAATAGTGTCCTGTGTCCACATGATAGAAAACAACTAATATTAACGACTAACATATATATTGCACTTACTATGGCCAGGCACTGTTCTGAGTGTTTTGCATATATTCTTGTAATCATCCCAACAATCCCATGAGGTAGGCATCAATTTAGGAATGTGGAGACTGAGGCAGAGAGAGCTTCAATTACTTGCCCAAGTAATATGTGGACAGAATTGGGACTTGAACCTAAACAGTTTGGCTCCAGTGTCTGTGCTCTAAAATGCCTTGAAAAAGTTAGGCCTTAACACATTCTTGACAAGTAAAGACAGCTGTGAAAGACAAAAGGTAAAAACATTCAAATAATGACGTAGGGCATAGTTGCTAAAGAGGTGGGAAGGAGGGGGAGGTTGATTAGGATGCCCACCTTTTTATTTCCACTCACCAGGAAACCTAAACTGGTAAAATAATCCTATTTGTACCCATTCCTACAGTTGCAAACCCTACACCAATCCCAAAGACACCGTTATTGATACCTACTATGTGTTAAGCCCTGTTGTAGGCACTAGGACTACATAAGTGAATGAATAGACAAGGACACTGCATGCCAGGCAGAGGAATATGTTCTAGTGAGGGGTGGGAGAACTGGGGAGAGGAACAAATAACCATGGACATAAACAAGATCATTTCTGATGGTGACAAATGCTTCAGTAGAAATGAAACAGGATAAGAGAATGTTTGGAAGGTTGTTGGGAGGGGGACTACTTTAGATCTGGGACAGTAGAGACTGCCTTTCTGGAGAGGTGACATTTGAGCTGAGACCTGAATGATGAATGAACCAGTCCTGTGAAGAGTAGGTATAGGGACAGAGAAGGGATCTCTAAGCAAAGGGAAGAGCCAGAGGAAAGGCTCTGGGACTTGGCATGGCCGAAGAATAGAAAGAAGGCAAGGGAGACTAGTAGGAGATGAAATCAGAAGAGAGGAAACAAACATGAATACAATGGCTGCTACCCTCAAGCAGCTGAGAACATATCAACATATGGTTTTGATACAATTATAGTTGTAGAGAAGCTTGGGCCAGATCTTGAAGGATGCACTGAAGTTCTCCATGAAGACAAGGAGGTGAAGAGGGAGGGCATTCTGGGCAGAAGAAGGAGACTGATTAAATGCAGGACCATGCATGCCCAGTCCGGGGATTTGCTGCTGGTCCTTCAGTTTGCCTGGGGCAAGGAGTTCCTCATGTGGGAGACTTGTTAAGAAATGAGCCTGGAGGCACAGCTCAACTTCTGAAGGGCTCTGGCTGTAACACCAAGGAGTTTGCACTCTATCCTGGGGGAGATGGGCGTGAAAAAATCTGCACTGGGATTTTACAGGGATTAGTCAATTAAAGGGGGAAGACCCCAGACCCTAGTCAATAAAGAACTGCAGTGGTCCACCTGAGTGCTGACCAGAGCCTGAGCTAAGGCTGTGGCTTTAGGCTTGGATTCAAGAAAACGAAAATAAAGAATAGCAGGACTGGGAAATCAGTTTGAGGTTATGGAGGGAGAAGAAGGTGATTTCCCTTCATTTAGTCTGCATGGATTTTCTGGGGCCCTTGGAGAACATGGTTTCTCCATGTTCAGTGATTGGGAGGCATGCTGGGGTCTAGTGGATGCCTAAGATCTAGCACTGACTCATAGACCATCCAGAACCTGGAATTTTAAGTATTTCTTTCCCATTAAATTCAATCACGCTGTCCAAACATTCCTGCCATAGTCTAGCCAGAGCTCACCAAGAGTGGGTTTGAGCCCCCTGCAAGGGTTGACTGGCTAAAGACAAGACCTTACATGGGATTTGTATTGCTATGCAACATAGCAGGCTCTGAGCCCCCTCTGGATCACCAGGCCATTCATTTGTATTGGCTTCTCACCCTGGCATTGACCCTGAGTTCATTAATAATTGTTACTCAATAGAGCCTCTGCTAAACACACACACACTCACACTTTTGTTTGCTTCCAATTGTGAGGCAAAAAAATTAAAGCAGAGCTATTAAATGATGGCTTTGCAACTCAACTATATTAAAATATATCCCAATTGTCTTTGGCAATTCTGATTATCCAAAGCTTTTCCTTTTATTTATCACTACAGTACCCTTTAGTTGGAAGGACAAACATTTCTGCTCTGACACTTTTGAGCTATTTCTTAGCCATTTATGTTAATTAATACTTGCATTAATTATTATATTTATTATTATTATTATTATTATTAAGCCCCGATTACCAATGAGACATCTGACATTTCCAAATACTGAACCTGATTTGGTCTTTGTTCAGCTGGCTTATAATTACAGATTTTTGTGATAAAACAAGAAGAATGAGGAAATTATAAGAAAGTATATTACGGAAAGGATAAGAAACTAAGGTCTGATTATGAGCAAAGATTTAGAGATTAAAATAATGGTAACCTCACTCAGTGTCTTTGTCAGTGATTAGGAACAAAGTTAGGGGGAAAAAATCTCATCCTCCATGTGGCTGTCCATCTCTTCCCAAGACACTGCCGGCCCAACCAAAGCAATGCAGAGACTCTCTTAGGTGTATGTGGAGGTTGAGTCATGGTTTGAAGGAGATAAATATGGGCCCAGAAATTCTCTGCAGCAGAACGACCCTTCTTGGAAATCACTTTGAAATGGTAAAATAGTGTTAATATGGTAAAAATGCAATTATGACATCGCAGTATCTAAGCATTTTGAATGTTTTAAATTCATATTTAAATGAGATAACTGGGTACTAAAATTACAAGTAAATCAAGTTTATATGGTGTTCTACTTGACTTAGTTTATGTTTGGGGGTAACACTGAAGGGGCCTTTATGGTGTAGTACTGAACTGCAATTTGTAAAAGATTATAGCAGTGTCCAAAATCTACTCAAAACAGTTTTAATAGCAAATACTGAAATTATTGTCAAGATGATAAAGAGGGAAGGGAGACCCTTCGAAATGGTCTAGTCTAAGCCCTCATTTTACAGTTGAGAAACTGGAGGCCCTTACTGATTTACCTGAAGTCCCACATCTGGTAACGGTAGTTTGTACTAAAACCTTGGTGTTTGGTATCAACGGCAGGATTCTTTCCAATGCAACATGCTGCCTTACTCTGAAAGGACAGTGACATTCAAAATCAAAATCAAAGATAATTTTTAAAAACTATCACATATGTTTAGTCTCAGAAAGCTAGAAAGTGTCCTGAGGTGGGGTTAGAAGGGCATGGGTCAGAAGACAATGGGGAGGGAGCAGACTCAGATTGTAAAAATAATCTACAACCAATGTAATCCAAATATGAGCACTCTGATAATATATTTTATAGACTTCAACAATTTTAATATATGCGTGTTCAAATGTGATATTTTAGAGACACTAGCCAGAACCTAGATAGTTTTTCTGCTCCACTCTTCTGGGAAAGGAACAAACCCTTGCTGGGAAAATATTTTTAAATAAAGCCCATTGCTTAGGTGCTGCAGTGTCTCTTGGCCTTGGAGAGTGTCTGTTCTGCAAGAGAGTTGGAAATGCTCCCTTAGGTTTGGCCTTGTGGATGTGTTTAGGAGATTTCAGGAATACCCTGCATACTATCAACTGTCCAATTTGCAGAAAGTAGTTTATAATATTTAGGGCTGACTATTTAGCATCTCTGCTGATTTTTCTACTGGTAACTTTGGGTCAGTCTTGGAGTTTATGAAGATTGGAACAGTACTTGGGCTGCAGATGCACCAGGAAGCCCACACTGGCTGGGGGCAGGGGAGGAGGAGTGAGAAAGGCCTAGAAAATAAGAAGTGGGCCAAGGAAGAGAAGGGATGGAGCTGACTCAAATGCCTGTCAGTAAACAGCCCAGGAATGGCTGCCAGGGTTCAGTTACTGGCTTAGTTGGGGGAGCTGAGCTGCCCACGGACCAAAGTCACCCATGGGATCCCCTCACAGGCCAGTTTATTTAGCTATGTTAACTTGTTTCCCTGACTACTTGCATGACAGTAAGAAGTATGTCTGGGGCAGTACAAATTCATCATGACCGCTGACAAAAGCAACTGGAAACCTATATCCCACTGATAAAGACTCAGTGGCGTCACTGAGTCTGAGGTTTGGATGACATTTCTGGTCCACAAGTGTCACAAGGTTGAATGATGGAGTGCTAACCTCAGTTTATTTATTTTTTTCTTGGAGGACTTCATCTGTGGTCAGCAGCCTTCTGTGGATGTTTTCTGCTCTGCCTGGACATGAGAGACAGGCAGACCCTGAATGTGAGTTGGTTTTTACATTTCATTTCATAGGAGGACAGAGTTCAGGATGTGTCCACGTGAAGTCATGTCCTAGATTGGTAATCTGGGATTCTAGCTTGGTGAACATTTCAAAAACCTGTAAGGAAACATGAGAAAGTCAATGGATTAGAGATATTAGTAGACATTGAAATGTGATAAGGGAGGTCTGTGAAAAGCTGTCAGGATGTCAGGATGATATGGTCTGGCTTTGAGGAATATAGGTGACAGTTTTTCCTTCTCTTCCCACCATCCCCACACCGTTAATTTACTGCTGATAAAGATCTGACTTACGTAGAGGGCAGCACCAACTCTACCCACCAAGGTAATTTTGAAAAAAAGCAAGAGAGAAAGAGAGCATGTGCACTAGGAACTCAATATGGATTCTGAGATACTCGACAATTTCACATCTTCTTAAAATACTCCAGAGAAAAAAGAGTGGCCTCTGGAATGCTTTTCTTTTCATCTTCAAGGAACTAAGAATTTTGAAAGGAGTCCAACTAATGCTACCTATTTCAAACTAGCAATAATAAAAAAAAAACCTGGGGTTTGAATACAGCTTATGCCTATGGATAGTTACTTCTCTGAATTCAACAGTCATGTACAACACAGGGTACTGGACTAGCCTTCCAGCCAGTTTCCTTGTCTGAACTGAAGGCTT